CTTGCCTTTCTTGGGACATCTATACTTCAATTACCAATTAATTCATAACCAATACATAATACAAGGTAATTCATAAAGTAATAACATAATCAACATCAATATAAGCAATTGACATATTCCCTTCATAGCCTTCAAGGCTTCATTCAAAGACTCAACCCTAACCCTAATTTCATAGAAATTATACATAACCTAGGGTAGAATCATCATACAAACATGAATTACATAGCATCACATTCAATTCATAGCTTTCAATCAATATCCAACACAAACTAGCGTTAGAATTATGAAAAAAAGGAGAAACATGGGTCTCATGGGGAATTCTTCAAGAAATCACCAATACAACATAAATTCATCCATAATTGTTCATATAACATCAATCAAAGTCAGTTTATAAAATCACTTTCACTTTAGAAAGAAGACCCACGTTTTTGGATTGAAACCTAGAAATTGGAGATTTTGAAATTCATCTTGAAGGCGCCTCTTGGGGAAAGGAATCCCAAGAGTGATAAGCAACCATACCTTATTGACGAATTAACCACGAAAATCTGAGTTGAAACCTTGGAGAGTTGGTCTTCTTCTTGAAGCTCCTATCTTCTTCAATGGAGTTCTTGAGAAGAGAGAGAGCTAGGAGAAAGAAGGAGGAACTTTAGGTTTAGATCTTTGGGGTTTTGTGTTTGAGTGATAAAATAAGGTAAATTGACTTAAAAATCATTATATACACGTCCCCTAAAGTACCCCAAATACCCCTCACTTAGTTGGACTCTTTAATGAAGTAAAAATCGATTTTTGAATTTCTACATTTTCATCGCGGAACAAGTCCGCGATGCGAAGTTGTTCCCTGAAGATATTTGGAATTAAAATTTGAGACAGTAGAGTCCGTGACACGACCGCGTTGCGAACTAAATTTTTTCTCCTTAGGGGAGCTAGTCTGCGACACGGAGCTATTCCCACCAAGTGCAATTTGCAAGCTGCCTTGGCCAAGGTTGGGGTCCTCCTCGGGGCCCCTTAGGGTTCCCCGGGGTGTCGTATTCTAACGTTTTGACCCTATAAACATATATTTACCTAATTTAAACCTTTTTACAAGATTATACCATCATAAGGACACAGTAGAACGCATTCTTCTCTAGTTTTCGGACGTCGTGGTCGTTTCTTGACGTTTAGACTTTTACTCTTCCAAACCAAGTCAATTGTATTAATTTAGGTTTAGAAACATCATTTTTACTATTTTTAAGTCATTATTCATAGGTGAGGCTCTAACTTAAGTCATAGAATTTCCGGGGTGTTACAATATCCCCCCTTAGGAACATTCGTCCCCGAATGTCACTTGGATTTCTTTCTAGGGAGACAATGACTCAAACTAGCAGCACAACAACCAGTCATATCAACAACATCATATGATCATGTCATATAGGAATTTAATCCACAACATCACTATTCTCAAAAAAAATTACTTCACATAAGCATAAGAGGAACTACCTTCTCCATATTCAATGAGCATCAACATATATATTAAAAAATCAACAGGACATTTCTTTAACAAGACAACATCAAGTATGCTCATTATAACTCTCATGAAGACAACATCACACAACATCTATGGGTGCAATTTCAACCATGAGAAACAAAATTCGTGAAAACTCAAAATATAACTTAAGCATGAATTTTCACAAAAAAATATGCACATACAAGGAAATCATGTCATAATCATCAACACATATGATTTTCAATTTATACCAAGTTAAGAGAGACTACAAACCTCAACTTTGGCTAGGAGTAGGAGGAAAAAAATGAGGGTAGTAGGACTTCATGTCGGCCTCAGCCTCCCATGTTGCACCCTCAACTAGGTGGTTTCTCTATAGGACTTTTACGGAGGCCACCTCTTTATTCCTCAACTTCTTAACTTGACGATCTAAGATTTCGACCGGAACCTCTTCATAAGAAAGGTTCTCATTCACCCCTAAACCTTCTAGAGGGAGAATGGACACCAGGTCACCTATACACTTCTTTAACATAGAAATATGGAACATCAGGTGAACTGGGGCCAATTTGATGGGCAATTTCAACTCATAAGCAGCCTTTCCGACTCGTTTCAAGATCTCATAAGGCCTAACATACTGGGAGCTAAGCTTCCCCTTCTTACCAAATCTCATCACCCCTTTCATGGGTGAGATCTTCAAGTAGACCCAATCACCTACTTCAAATTCAAGATCCCTCTCTCTATTGTCGGCATACGAGTTTTGCCGACTATGAGCCGTTTTCAACCTATCCCTTATAAGTCAAACTTTTTCCATAGCCTCATAGACTACCTCGGGACCAAGAAGAGAAAATTCACCTACTTCAAACCACCCAACCAGAGATCGACACCTTCTACCATAAAGTGCTTCAAAGGGTGCCATAGCAATACTCGAGTGGTAGCTATTGTTGTAGGAAAATTCTATCAAAGGTAGGTGGTCATCCCAATTACCTTTGAAGTCAATGACACACGCTCTCAACATGTCCTCTAGGGTTTGGATGATGCGTTCCACTTGACCATCCATTTGAGGGTGAAATGCGGTACTAAGTTTCACTTGAGTACGACGTCCACTTTAGAAAGACCTCCAAAAATGGGAAGTAAATTGGGCAGACAATGGGGCCCCATGCATCTTCACAATCTCCTTAATGTACAACTTAGCATAATCTTCAGCCGAATAAGAAACCTTAAAGGGAAGCAAATGGGTTGATTTAGTCAATCTATCCACAATGACCCAAATAGAGTCATGTTGCCTACGGGTTCGAGACAAACCTACCATGAAGTCCATATTGACCTCTTCCCACTTCCAAGTGGAGGTATCAATATCTTGAGTTAGACCTCCTGGTCCTTGGTGATCGGCTTTGACTTGTTGACAATTTGAGCATCTAGCCACAAAATTTGCTATGTCTTTTTTCATTCTGTTGCACCAATAAATCTCACATAGGTCACGATACATTTTGGTGGCTCCTGGATGGATGGAGTATCGGGACCCATGGGCCTCTTCTAAGATTGTCTCTCTTAGGCCATCCACATCCGGCACATATAATCTCCCTTGGTGCCTAAGCACCCTATCTTCTCCTTGAGAGAAATTTTCTATTGCATTGTTGAGAACCGACTCTTTTAGTTCCATCAAAATAGGGTCAAGATGTTGCTTAGACTTCACGTCAACAACAACCGATGACTCAAAATTATGACGGACCATGACACCTCCTTTTGGGGAATCTTCAAGTCGGACACCCAACCGGGCTAGCCTATGTACATCACGGGCTAACTCCCTTTTCTCTTCTTCCACATGTGACACACTACGCATAAATACACGACTCAAAGCATCCGCAACCACATTTTCTTTTCCGGGGTGGTAAAGTACAATCATATGATAATCTTTCAAGAGTTCCAACCACCTCCTTTGTTGGAGATTCAATTCTCTTTGGCTAAAATCATATTGAAGACTCTTGTGGTCGGTAAACACATCCACATGTACCCCATAGATATAGTGTCTCCAAATCTTTAAGGCAAAAACTATGACCACCAGCTCAAGGTCATGAGTTGGATGATTCTTCTCATGCACCTTGAGTTATCTGGAGGCATAAGTTATAACCTTACCATGCTACATGAGGACACAACCCAAACCCACTAGGGAAGCGTCAGAATATACTACAAACCCTTTGGTTCCCTCCGATAAGGTCAAAACTGGAGCGGAGATGAGCTTATCTTTCAATAATTGGAAGCTCTTTTCACAAGATTCCGACCATTCGAACTTGGACTTCTTTTGAGTTAAGGACGTTAATGGAGATGCAATAGATGAAAATCCCTCAACAAACCTCCGGTAGTAACTGGCCAAACCCAAAAAGCTTCGGATGTCGGAAGGACTCAAAGGTCTAGGCCAACTTTTGACCGCATCGGTTTTCTTTGGATCAACTTCTATACCCTTACTAGAAACAATGTGACCAAGGAAAGAAACCGATCTTAGCCAAAACTTGCACTTGCTAAACTTAGCATAGAGCTGGTGATCTTTGAGGACTTGCAATACTATCCTCAAATGATTCATCTCATCATCCTCACTTTTAGAGTATATCAAGATGTCATCAATAAAGACAATAACAAATGAGTCTAGATAATTTCTATACACACGATTCATAAGGTCCATGAAAGCTGCCGGGGAATTTGTAATACCAAAGGACATCACTAAGAACTCAAAATGACCATATCTTGTTCGGAAGGCTCTGCTTTCGGAACATCAACACCTCTCGCCCTTAGTTGGTGATAACCCGACCTCAAATCGATTTTTGAAAAGTAACTCACTCTTTGAAGTTGATCAAATAAGTCGTCAATCCTAGGGAATAGATACTTGTTCTTAATGGTCACCTTATTTAATTGTCGGTAATCAATACACATACGAAGAGATCCATCCTTCTTCTTCACAAATAACACCGGTGCACCCCAAGGAGATATACTAGGTTGGATGAAACCCTTATCCAACAAATCTTTAAGTTGAGCTTTTAATTCCTTCAACTCCCCAGGGGCCATCCGGTAAGAAGGGATTGAAATGTCTTGTGTATCCGTCAATAAATCTATGCCGCAATCTTTTTCCCGTTCGGGAGGAATTCCGGGTAAGTCATTGGGAAAGACTTCTGGAAAATCCTTCACTACGGGGACCGACTCCAAAGGAAGAATCTTGGATTCAAGATCCTTGACCCTCACAATATGATAGAGACAACCCTTAGAAATCAACTTACAAGCTTTTAGACATGAAATGATCCTTCCCCTAGGAACAAAATTTCTTCCCTTCCATTTTAAAATGGGTTCATTAGGAAATTGAAACTTCACAATTCGGGTCCTACAATCTATGGACGCAAAACAAGCATGAAGTCAATCCATCCCCAATATAACATCAAAGTCTAACATATCAAGTTCCACCAAATCAACTAAAGTGACTCTATTGGGCAATGATATGGGACAACCCCTATAAACTCTTTTAGCAATTATGGAATCACCCACCGGGGTAGAAATCGAAAAAGGGTTTATCTAAGACATCGGGAAACATATCAAACTTCATAGCCACTAAAGGGGTTACAAAAGACAAAGTGGCACCGGGATCCAACAATGCATAAACATTAATTGAAAATACTTGTAGCATACTGGTCACAACATTTGGAGAGCTCTCTTGATCACCTCGGGATTGGAGAGCATAGAAGCGATTCTTCTTAGGAGCATCGAGATTTGGGCCACTTGCTTGTGCTTGAGGATTTTCCCTTCCTTGAGCCTTTAACATAGGGCAGTCCCTCCTTATGTGGCCACTCTTACCACATTCATAGCAATTACCCGTGCCAACTAGGCACTTGCCTTCATGTTTTCGACTACACTTTGTACAAATAGGCTTCTCAACATAAGGACCACCACCTCTTACTTCTTGAGGCTTGGGGATAGACACTTTACCTTTGTTGACCCTTGGAGTGTTAGGAGGACCTTGGTTGGAATACCTCTTTTTGAACTTTGGCTTATCTTGGATTTCAAACCTAACCTTAGAAGAATTTCCATCATCAGCCCTTGACCTCTTCAATTCTCTACCAACTTGCTTAAGCTTTTGCTCCTCAATTTGTTCGACATGAACCATGAGACGAGAAATGTCTATGCTTGGGATTAGCATAGCCAACCTACATTCATTCACAACAAGATCTGATACCCCCATAACAAATTTGTTCATTGTTGCTCTAGAGTCCCACACCAAAGTAGGAGCATGCTTGGACAATTGAGTAAACTTGAGGCCATACTCTTTCACACTCATACCCCCTCGACGGAGGTTGATGAATTCTTGAATTTTCCTCTCCCTTAGTTCCAAGGGGAAAAACCTATCAAGAAAAGCCGTTTTGAATGTAGCCCAATTTATCGGACCCTCTCTAATAGGTCTCCCCTCCTTCCATTGTTCATACCACACTTGTGCCACATCTTTGAGTTGATAGGCGGCTAACTCCACCTTTTCTTGAGAAGACACACCCATAGCCTCTAGAACCTTAAACATTTCATCAATGAATCCTTGTGCATCTTCTTCCACCTTGGAGCCAAAGAAAGTAGGGAGATTCATCCTTGTGAAATCCCTTATCCTAGAAGTGGTAGTGCTAGCATTGGGGTTCACTTGCACCCTAGCATCCCTAGAAACTTGAGTGGTCAACACTTGAGTCAAATTATGAATAGCCGACCTTATCTCAACATTAGACATAACCCCTTCTTCATTAGAAAATTGAGGGTTTTGAGGAGCTTGAGAGGGAACCTCCTCATTCACATTCTTCTCACCGACCCTCCTTGCATTGTTCTTTCTTGTATTCATTGCCTATAAGCACAAGAGAAGGATTAGAAGAAAAGAACTAAATAAAGTTAAGAATCTTAGGCACGACTATGGAATAACAAAAGAGTTAAAGTTCCTAAGCATCTCGTAGCCTCTCATTCATAAGTGTGGCGCGCTTCACACCCATGAACAAGACTCTAATCGACGTGGAATCTTGTGACATAAATCCTACATTATTCTTGACCTTATGCTCTGATACCAAGTTTGTAATGACCCGAGAGCACCCCCTAGTCGTTACCGGTGTATTCGACCTCGAATAGGTCTTATACAAACCCTTAGCATTCATCATAGCATGTATCATAAAATAAAATCATGGAAAATTTAAAACTTTTACTTTGGAAGTTCAACTTCCTTCATATATGAAAAACAAAATCTAACTTCGTCCCAATGTACCATCTAGACATAGAAGTATCGAAAATGGGTCTTAGCCCTTACATCAATAAGAAGTTTTGAAATAGCAAAGTACAACAATGTCTTTCAACATAAGCAAATAACTAAACATAGAAGCTAGATCATAGGGTCTTGTCCTTGGACTTGAGGACTCACCAACTTAGGGAAGCAACTCCAAGTGTCTTGAGAAGTAAGCTTGAATCCTCAATGACCCGAACCTAAATGTTTGGGGAAAAGGGAGAAAATATGGGTTAGTACAACACCCGTACTAAGTATGGCTACTATGCATAAAAACCATTAAAACATGCATAAAAGGACATTTAGTCAAAATATGCTTTTTACCAAGTGAATCCAATATGCACACAAAGTAAGCATCATAGTCCAAACCAACATAATATCATCCCAACATGTTGACAACCCAGGCTATACTAGTGCAATGCAAAGAATAGACCCCCATAACCTTATCCAAAGCCAAGTATCACATTAAGCAACCTACTTCATGCATACATTCATAAGATCATATCTCATCATAACTTACCATATTCATAATGATCATACATAGCATAGCTTCAACATATATAAGTCATAATCATCATAATCATAAGAGAACAGTACTACAACTATCTCTTAGGATCCCACAAGTGCAATGTGCAAGAGAAGTCCATACCCTCCCTTACACTATGTAGAAACCCTTAACAAAGCCCTAGTAATAGTTCACACCTTTGATACCTTCATTTACTTTTACATTAGGGAAATATTGCAATAACCGATATAGACCATGAGAGCTACATGGAATTCGGTGTTATACTCCCATACTGAAAAGAGAGGGTTAACACTTGCCTAGGGTGTAACCATTTGTACATAGCTATCTAGGTGGATCCACTAAGCTAGAGTCCTATGTGGGGACATAGTTAAGGGTTAAAGAGATTGCTTATTGAAACCCTAACTTACTAAACGTCGGGGTTTCCATCTCATGAGACAACACATACCGTGGGTAATCTGGACTTGCTAAACGTGAGGAAACCCATGTGGGGAGACAGACTTACTAAATGTGAGACCCCCATCTCATTTACATGCCCTTTCGGTGCTAAGCATTTAATTCCCTTTTGTAATCATCTTTAGTCATCACATAAGTTCACATTAGCCTTTACTAGACTTTTATGTAGACATCTTACCATTATAGCTCATATGTGTTCATAAGTGAGTAAAAATCCTTTCACTTTAGAAACACTTAGCAAGTGAGTAAACATTTCACTTTACATAACACTATAATCATGAGGACTACCTTTCAATCATATATCAATCATACCATAACATACATACATACTTCATAGCTAATTCATGTGTAGAGGGTTAAGGATGAGGAAACTAGATCATCAACACCACATTAGGTATAGCATCATTACAATCTAAGTAATTCACCTTTCATACTTGAGTTCAAAGAATAACCAATCTTCATACCTTCTTGCCCTTCTTGGGACATCCATAATTCAATTACCAATTAATTCATAACCAATACATAATACAAGGTAATTCATGAAGTAATAACATAATCAACATCAATATAAGCAATTGACATATTCCCTTCATAGCCTTTAAGGCTTCATTCAAAGACTCAACCTTAATTTCATAGAAATTATACATAACCTAGGGTAGAATCATCATACAAACATGAATTACATAACATCACATTCAATTCATAGCCATCAATCAATATCCAACACAAACTAGGGTTAGAATTAGGTAAAGAAGGAGAAACATAGGTCTAATGGGGAATTCTTCAAGAAACCACCAATACAACATAAATTCATCCATAATTGTTCAAATAACATCAATCAAAGCCAGTTTATAACATCAATTTTACTTTATAAAGAAGACCCATGTTTTTGGATTGAAACCTAGAAATTGGAGATTTTGAAATTCATCTTGAAGGCGCCTCTTGGGGAAAGGAATCCCAAGAGTGATAAGCAGCCATACCTTATTGACGAATTAACCACGAAAATCTGAGTTGAAACCTTGGAGATTAGGTCTTCTTCTTGAAGCTCCCATCTTCTTCAATGGAGTTCTTGAGAATAGAGAGAGAGAGTAAAGAGAAGGAGGAACTTTAGGTTTTGATCTTTGGGGTTTTGTGTTTGAGTGATAAAAATGAGGTAAATTGAATTAAAAATCATATATACACGTCCCATAAAGTACCCTAAATACCCCTCACTTAGTTGGACTCTTTGATGAAGTAAAAATCAAATTTTGAATTTCTGCATTTTCGTCGCGTAATAAGTTTGCGACACAGAGCTATTCCCTGCAGATATTTGGAATTAAATTTCAAGACAGTAGGGTCCGTGACACAACCGCGTTGTGAACTAACTTTTTTCTCCTTGGGGGAGCTAGTCCGCGGCGCGGAGCTATTCCCACCAAGTGCAATTTGCAATCTGCCTTGGCAGCTTGCTTGGCCAAGGTTGGGGTCCTCCTCGGGGACCCTTAGGGTGGCCTCAGGGCATCGTATTCGAACGTTTTGACCCTATAAAATATATTTACCTAATTTGAACCTCTTTACAGGATTATACCATCAGACGACACACCCAAACCTGCCCAAAACCTAAGGACACACTAGAACACATTCTTCTCTAGTTTCCGGACGTCGTGGTCGTTTCTTGACGTTTAGACTTTTACTTTTCCAAGCCAAGTCAATTGCATTAATTTAGGTTTAGAAACATCATTTTTACTATTTTTAAGTCATTATTCATAAGGTGAGGCTCTAACTTAAGTCATAGAATTTTTGGGGTGTTAGAGATATGAATTTCATCATAAATTCATGTAAAACTAGTAATACATGCTCAATTTAATAAAACTCTTCCTTGAAGATCAAAATCCCATAACATATAGTTCATAACAATAAAACATTGGGAATACATGGGTTCACGGGGGAATTCATCATAAAAGCATTGGAATTCATCAATTCATGCATAGAAGATCAAAATTCTATCATTTAAATCAATCTTGAATGGAACCCATGACAATTATAGAAAATCCTAAATTAATTGGAAAATTCTAATCTTTAAAATTAAGGAAATTTGGGAACTCTATGGATGATGAAAGGAATACATGGATGAAAACTATCATACCTCAAGCCCAAAGCTTAACTTCAATGGAGGAATTGAGGCTTGACCTTGATCCTAGCTTGAATCCTTTCTTCTTCTTCAAGTTTCTAGAGAGAGAAATATTTGAGAGGAAGAACTTCGGGGATTTCTTTTGGGTTTTGGAAACAATGACTTGAATGGGTACATTTTATAGTTAAAATGACTTATATAGGGGTCGTAGGCTTAGTCAAAATGATATAGCTTTAGTCTTCTTAAAACCAGAAAAGACCAATTTACCCCTAACTTACAATGCACTGTCCATCTCCGCGAGAGGATCCACGAGCCGTGGTCCTCCTCGTGGTCTTGGACCAGTAGCTAAGCATACCCTTACTTAACCCCTAAGAACTAAGTCACCACCACGAGCCTTCCCACGGCCAGTGATAGCCTTCACGAGCCGTGAAGTGGCTCGTGTGGAGGGGTCTGTTTTGGGCAGATTTCACCTAGCCACTGCCTAGCCCACCACGAACCTTACCACGAGACGTGGTCCTCACCACTGGCCGTGAAAGTGGCCGTGGGAAGGTGGGCAGTGTCTAGGGAAGATTTGGCTGCCCTAGCCTTCATCCTTGGCTTTTGCCCTCACACTTAGCCCTAATTTAGTCTACTAGATTCCGAGGTGTTACAGAAATTCAATACTAAACTCTGTGGTCCCACTTGAATGCTTAAATTCACTGCTCCGAATGTATATCTTTTTCGTTCGTCAAAAGCCTTTACGTTGACTTGGTTATGGTGAACATTTCTCAAGTCAAAGTTTAACTATTTGAGAGTCAAAAGTGGACAAATATTAAGACTAGACCCGTCATCAATCAAGACACGATTTATAATCTTATATAGACACTTGATATTGACATCTAGAGCTTTGTTGTGTATTACCCCTTCAAAGGGTAGCTCTTCATCACAAAAGCTGATATGACGCCCCTAAATCACTTGGCTCACCATAGCTGCCATATTATCACTATTTGTACCCACGGGCATATAAATGTCATCTAAATCCTTCATCAGGGTTTGTCTGTGCAGTTGTGAGCTTATCAATATGGCCCACACTGAGATTTGAGCTGGTGTCTTCTCGAGATGCTTCATAATTGAATAGTCTTGCGGCTGCATTTTCCGCTAGAATTCTTCCACCTCAGCCTCACTAATCGGCCTTTTCTTTTGGTCCTTCTTGTGCCATCACTGGGCTAATTCTTCCAGCGTGTAACATCTACAGGATCTATGTCACGACCCGAGAGCACCCCGTAGTCGTAACACGGTGTACTCGACCCCGAAGGGAGTCTTATACAAGCCTCATAGTCATTCATTGCATTCAATAATGAAATTAGCACATAATTTAAAACCTATTTAAAACCAAACATTCAAACTTCATTAAAAACAACCTTTAAAGGACACAGCGGAAGACTAACTCTCACATGGCCATCTTAACCGAAACTTTAACTAGATAAGGTCACAACCCTTTACAATTGACATCTTAACAATAATCTCAAAATAAGAAAGAACTAGAATCAATAAAAGTCTTTGTCCTCCACATATGAGGACATACCAAAAAAGGTCTTGAGGGAAAACTCTAATCTTAAGTTTCACTAGAGAATGCAATCACCTGCCGGAACCTACACTTGTAGTTAAAAGGGTAGAAATATGGGTTAGCACACAAAAATGTACTAAGTATGATGACCATGCAAAACATGCTAAAAAGGGACATTTTGTTGAAAGTCATGCTTTATGCCAATTCCGTAAAACTTCATAAACATTTATCAAAGAGGCATATCATAAGTTACAACCAACCAACAAGAGCTAAGCACATTCGTCAAGTAAGTCATTTCATCATCTTATGACCTATATCAAAAGTTACCCTAAGATACACCTAAGTAAGACATGAGGTGGCAGCCCATACTACCTCTCCAATACACACCTAGGTGTTCCTCACGACTACAATAAATAAGAACCTTCACAATTCCACACAACATGGTAAGTAACTCATTTCATCAATAAAAGCTACTCATTCATCATTTCATTTAGACAATAAGTCAACAAATCTTCATTTAATTCATTTAGGACACCTTTATGAATTTAGAAGACTTTCACACATTTAGTCCTTAAGACTTAGAGAACTCACTACAGCACCTTCAAAGCCTACTCATGCAATGTATAGATAGCATCCCATACTACTACCTACACTTTGTAGAACCTATCAAGTAACTAGAGTGCACATCTCACATGATGGGAATAAGAGTTTAACCGACATAGACCATGCAAGCTAGACATGGAATCCGGTGTCATATATGCCCACACCGTAAAGAGGTGTTCCACTTGCCTAAGGTAGAACAATAACATTAGCTCGGATGAATCCTTAGCTTGGATGAAATCCTCTGGCTAATATCCTATGTGGGCACATAGTTATGGGATATGAAGATGTTCATTGGAACTCTTAGCCTAACATTGGGAGAGTTTCCATCTAACCATATCCACTCGGTGATTAGCTTACATTACCATAGATTATTTCATTCACATTACATTAGTGTATTAGGGAGGAATGCCTTAGGCCTATCGACCCATGATACATCATTACCAAGGAAGGAATGTTATAAGCATATCGATCCATGGTACATTAAAGGATAGCTCTAGGGTCATCATGAAAAGAATGCCACTAGCCTATCGATTCATGGTCCCTCATTACATGCTTATACTCATGAACGGAATGCCACTAGCCTAATGATTCATGGTACATTGACTCATTAAGAAAGGAATGCCATTAGCCTATCGATTCTAGAGTCTTTACTACATTAGATCATTTATGAAAAGAATGCATAAAGCCTATCAATTCATAGCCATCAAGTCAAGACACATTCATACTAAAATAAAATGGTGCATAAGCCTGTCGATTCTAGATTCAACATTCACATTATAGAACTCTTCACATTCCAACATCATCATTCATGTGTGTCAAGTAGAGTAATATCCTTTCAATACTAACACAAAATACAATGAATACATGTTCCTTATTCTATCGTTGAATCACATATAAGTCCTTCACATTATCATGTACACAACAACAAGACAATACTCCAATTATAATGCCTTCAAGGCCATAATCACAATGTACATGTAAGTAAACACCTCCACCTTTCAAGAGTAACTCTACTACATGAGAATTAGGTCACAACTTAACCTTCTCCAAAGCCATAATCACCATTACTCAATCCTCCACAATCCACCATAGATAGGCATAAATAATAATAGAGATCAATAATACAACTCAATCTAAGCACAATTCTACTAATATTCATTCAAAATCATAAAACCCACTTCATAAGCCAAATTTGGGAATTTAGAGAAATCATGGGTTCAAAGAGTGAAATCATGTCAAATCATCAATTTAACCATCAATATAATCTTAATATGACATTAGTAAACCTCTAAATCGTTTAATAGAAGAACCCATGAGATTGAGTAAAACCCTTGAAATTTCATGAACTTGAAAACTTATTTGGAATTGACTCTAGGGTGAAAATTAACCCTAGATGAAGGATCACCATACCTTTTACTATGATTTTCCTAAGAAATTTGATGAAGAAAACCTTTACTCCAAACCCTAGCTCCCACTTCTTCTTCTTCTTAGACTTAGAGAGAGAAATATTGAGAGAGAAGAACTTTGGGGTTTTTATTTGGGTCCTTTGATTAATGAGTTAAAACTAGGTGTTAAAATACTTAAAACTATATATATACATGATATATATATATATATATATATATATATATATATTTAAAATGACCTCACATCAATACAACTTAATTAAGAAATTCCCAAAAACCCCTAAATTAGGCTACCCCGTCAGGGACCATGCCTACTTGTATAGGCCGTGAGGGGCACTACGGGTCGTGGTGATGCCCATGGTCCTTGAGACAGTGTGCCTCCCTTCCTTGCCAAGCCCTCCAAGGCAAGGCAAGTCAACACCACGAGTCGTGCTGATGCTCATGAACTATGGGGAAGCAACTAGGGAAAGTTGCCTTGCCTCCTTTGAGGCTAAGTGAGCCTCACGCCCAACTTGATGGACCATCTAGGGCACCACGGCTTGTGGTGGTGCCCGTGGTCTTTGGGACAGTAGCTCCCTTAACTTACAACACCTCCGACCAAGCTAAGGCAACCACACGAACCTTCCCACGGCCCGTGGTCATGACCAAGAGTCGTGAAGTGGCTCGTGAAGGGGAGCCTTGGCTTGGCACCCTTCTAGGGCTTACTACCTAGCCACCACGGGTGGCACCACGACTTGTGGTGACCACCACATGTCATAAATACCCTCGTGGCCTAGGGAGGCAGTAGCTAGGCTAAGTTTTAGGTAGCCTAGGTTCCCAAACCATGGCTTACACCCAAAACCCTTAGCTCTTGACGTTAATCCCCACGCTTAGGCTCTATTTTAACCTATTATTTTCCAAGTCGTTACAATCTGGTCATGCCCTGGGTGGCAGTGGTTTAGAACACAAAACTCTTTTGAGTAGGAATTTCTCTTGGGACGAAAGCAACAAATTTTTCGGGTGTCATAATCACAAATTCCTTCTTCTCTTTTATGAATAATGAGGCTAAAACTTTTTCAATGTCATCAATACCAAACAAAACTATCGCTTTTGGCATGCACTAGTGTCACGACCAATGGGTACCACCTAGATGTAACATGGCATATAGAACCCCAAAGAACTCCATACAAGCCACTTAGCTCTCATAACATAAGAAATAGAACACTAAGAGTATAACAATAGTCCAAGTCCAATAGTTTTTTATAAAAGAAAAGTGGAAGTCTAAAACACTTGTCTCATCATAGACATCTAATATAATAGAATGAAATTGGGCCTAACCCATACATCATGTTTAAAAGAGAAATACATGAATGAAACTGGAAAAAAATAAAGTCCGTCCTCGAAGCATGAGGACTCACCAAAGCTCAGAAAATATCTCAAGTCAACCTCTAGCCACGAAACTCGGGAACCTAACTATCGGACCCTACATTTGAGGAAATGTAGGCAAGAGTATGTGTTAGTACAAAACAATGTACCAAGTATGATTGTCATGCATAAAACATTTAAAACATGCAAAAAGGGACATTTCATTTTATAACATGCAATTGACCAAGCTAAAATATGATATAAGAGAGTTACAAAACATACTTCATAAAAACATGGTCAATGCAAGCTAATATCATCTGTAAAGCCTTTGAACACATATGAGATACTCCTTGAGTAACCTTAGTTCATTAGTAATGTAGGTAAATAGCCTTAACCGGCATAGAAACCATGTGAGCTATAATATGATCCCCTAGTGTCTCCCACACCGGAAAGGGTTGTCCTACTTGCCAAGGTAAGGACCATAAACTTCTAGCTTAAGTGGATCCACTAGATAATCATCCTATGGGGTAACATAGTTAAGAGATAAGTAGATTGCTACTAGAAACCCGACATCTACTAACGGGAGAGCTTCCATCTCATGAGATTGCTTCTAGAAACCCGACCTCTAATAATGGAAGAGCTTCCATCTCAATATCCAATATCCTCTCGATTCTAAGAATAAATCCCATAGAATTGTATTTTATTACTTATTCTCATTATCCATGGAACGGTGTCCTTGGAAAACCAATCCAAGCTAAGTTCATTAGGATAGCTCTTACTCTTTGATTCAAATACGTGAGAAAGCCTTTCAACCTAAGAATCCTTTGTATGTGAGAAAACCTTTCACATCATGCTAGTATGTATTTATGAGAATATATTTTCAACATCATCATTGGTACTTTACTCTCAAAGAACCCTTAAAACATTTACATAGATTTCATAAGAAATTGCATAAGTCCATAATTTACCTCTTGAGGTTCGAAATCCATTTTCAATCATAAATGATTAGAAAACATGGGTTAGATATGGATTTCATCATAAATTTATGTAAAACTAGTAATACATGCTTAATTTCATAAAATGCTTCCTTTAAGGAAAAAATCCCACATCATATGATTCATAACTTGAAAACACAGGGATTACATGGGTTTATAGGGGAAAACATCATAAAACCATAGTATTTCATCAATCCATTCATAGAATATCATAATTCAATCAATTAAATCAATAAT